CGGAGGGGGTTGGGGCGAGTTTAAGTGCTGACTTGGAGAAAAGTCAATATTTCCATATAACGTACCCCAGTTTGTATAAGCATAGCTTGTAAATTCTAACCTAAAGAGCACCAGCATCAGTAAGCATTTACAAGTCATTTGAAAAGCTTCGAGCAGCTTTCTTTACAGCTCTTTACACAATTTTAATTTGGAAGCATTGAATGCAGCAATTCATGGGAGCCACATTGTAACTTTGTACAAGCTTGTGCCAGAGCCGAACACTGCGTGCAACCGAACCAGGCAAGCAGCTAAATACACAGCTGAAACAGTTGAACAACCTCTCCTCCTGTCAGCAAGCTTCCAGTGTTAGATTAATAACCTTGTGCAGTGCAGTGGAGCCTGGTTGGCAGACATCACTAATATAAAACAAATTTGAAGACTTATGCTAGCAGTGATTTAAAATGCTCTTATGGATTTTTCTTTCATTCATAACTGTTAAAACGTGTTTGGGAACTGTTTTACCGGCCAAAGCATTTGCCATTGTGTTCAGCCAGTCTTGTGGTCCAGGCATGAATCATAGCCTCACTCTGCTACTCTGCAGTTAATGAATACAGCTTAGGCACCAGCCCTCTCTCAGGCAGCTGATTGGACAATGATAGAGCAGAATTACACTGATAAAATATTTCCTCCTGTCAGCAAGCCCTCAGTGTCAGACTGATAGCCTTGTGCAATGCAGTGAAGTCTGGTTGGCAGACATTACTGTCCTTCATTCTCCAAACGTTAGGGAACCAAGAAACATAAAGTGCAGGTTTAAAAAAATAAATAAAAAGGAGCCTATTGAAATCAACAATAAACATAAATGGCAGAAAACAATGGAGAAAGTCCAGGACGTCATCAGTGCCAAGCCAGAGGTCAAATGTCAAAGCACTTAATCGGGGGAACACTGAGAGCAGAACAAACGGAAACAATTGCCGGAGTCAGGAACCAGGAGATCAGTCAGCCAGGGTCATACACGGAGAACAGAAACAACAGCAGAGCACTTGGTAGATCAGAACACACGCAAGGGCGGAGACTGAATGGACGAGCTGATGATGAAATAGTGACCTGGTGTTTCCATCATCACTTTGAGACAGGAATTTGTCAGAAGTTTTGCAAGCAGTTGCAGGTTGATAATGTTACCGGGTTTGGTCATAAGAGGGCGCCAAAGAGGAACAAAGTGTCAGACACACTGCGAACAAGCCATGCTGCAAGCAATTGGACAAGGAAGGGTATAAAAAAAAAAACCCTGACACCGAGTCTCAGAGGATAATAAGCTAATATAAAACACATTCCAATACTTATGCTAGCAGTGATTAAAATGCTTTTGTGCTTTTAGGGATTTTTGATATAATTAATAAGTGTCAGGACACACAGAGAAGGCAACATGTCATGACTTCATCTTCTCATCATCCCTTCTCTTCTTCCACACAGGTATACAGATTTAACCTCTGCTTTACTGACTCCATCTTATATGAATTTCTGCTGCTGCAACCCTCTTTTTATGGTATACAGATATAACCTCTGCTTTACCGACTCCATCTTAAATGAATTTTCGCTGCAACCCTCTTTTCATGGTATACAGATTTAACCCCTGCTTTACTGACTCCAGCTTAAATGAATTTCCGCTGCAAGCCTCTTTTCATGGTATACAGATTTAACCCCTGCTTTACTGACTCCAGCTTAAATGAATTTCCGCTGCAAGCCTCTTTTCATGGTATACAGATTTAACCCCTGCTTTACTGACTCCATCCTGTATGAGTTTCTGCTGCAACCCTCTTTTCATGGTGTACAGATTTAACCTCTGCTTTACTGGCTCCATCCTGTATGCATTTCGCCTGCTGCAACCCTCTTTTCATGGTATACAGGTTTAACCTACAGCTGTAAATGTGATGTGATGCCTATGTTATTGATATATACGGACTTTGCTGTTTTGTTGAAAAGGCGATGTAATCTTTATGGCCTACGCCTGTCGTGTCTTAGTGTGAAAAGTGTGCTCCCTCATCCCATGTGCCTTTTATCATTTCCTAATACATTAACTGACATACACTCCCCCCACTCCATAGTCCTATAAATTTAGATGCGTGTGATAGGGCAGCCGGTCCGATCCTACTGTAATGTCACCAACATGTGACGATATGCAGTTTCAATCTTACCAGGCCGTCATCAAGACGTGATGATGCCACTCTCAGAACAACAATCTAAGGCCAGCAGACTGAGAGCGATTGTCACTAGGGGTTGGTTAACTCCGCCGTTAACCCGTTATACCAAATAATAGCTGCCACCACGTGTTTTAATAGAAACACGCACCGTTCCCAGCAAATGCTGTGACAATTCAAAAACTGAAAACAATGCATGTGATGCCCACTGTCCCCTCAGACAGGAATAAACCAGGTTTTACAAAATGGCAGCGCTCTTCACAGAGGCAAGGATACTTTAAGTTCTTATTTAGAGCATAGATATAAGCTTAACGATTCTAAAAGGTTGTTTTTCGTAAAAGAAATGGTGCAGAAAAATATACAGAAAAGAAGAAGTTACATAAAAGAGACATAAAACAACAGTAAACAAAAAAGGGATAAACATTAAAGTACCTTACAAAGTCATGGGTTCTTTAAGTTCCAGCAGAGTCCAGGCACTGAAACAGAAGATGGATCTGGGGTTGACTCTCTCGAGGTAAGGCTTAGCAAAAGGTTATTTTCTTGTTGTTAACAATAGCTTCTTCTTGATGGTACACAAGAGCCTCTTCTTAATGGTAAACAAGAGCTTCCTGGCTGTCTTGTGCAGCAGCTTTCTGTGGGCCCTCTAGGGGGTGTCACTGAGCCAGCCCCTTACCCAATCAGGAATGCTCAAGGAGGTAAGCAGCAGGGCTGAAGCATTTTATGATCTCCTCACCAGCCCCTCCCAAACTTAAAGGAGAACTATGAGGTGAGTGATTTTCACTCAACCTAATAGTTCGAGCCGACCTGTGACAATGAGACTGTCACACGTCGGCTCAATAGATTGGGAAGTGAGCGAACACATACCGTCGCTCGCTCACTTTTCGTTCCTGTCCCTGCAGAGAGCTGTGACTGTCACTCACAGCTCCCTGCAGGGATTCCCTGCCTCCCCTGTCCGATCCTCCAGCGCTGACTGGAGGAACGAACGGGGGAGGGGGCGGGTACAGCTGGCTCTGCCTCTAGATAGTCAGAGCCAGCTGGGTGGATCTCAACAGTAATGCCGGGATCCGTCCAAGGCTGGCGCGGTCTCAGTATACCGCGAGCTGTAGCTCGCGGTATACTGAGCTTTGGGTCGCCGGAGGATGCTAGTTTATGTCCTCCAGTGACCCTGAGGAGAACTATTGGGGAAAAGCACTGACCCCATAGTTCTCCTTTAATAAACAATAGATTATTGTTATGAAATTAGCTTTGGATAGATACCAGACCTGATATACCTGTGGGGTATGTGCCTACCTCAAAAGGGTTAAAGTGCGTCTTTAGCCCTTTGGGCCTTCTAAACCCACCCTGTTTGGTATGTCTATGCTCAGGGTCAAAAGATACATTAATAATTTATATATATATATATATATCACCCCAGGTCCAAAGTTATGAATACAGAGGGAAATTTTCACCCTGATTTTACAAGCAGGGGTGAGGTACAGGTAATTTGCTCATTATCAGGCCAAGTCATCTTTGTGACTTAACTAGGCTGTCCAATGATAATTAGTGTTCTGGCTTTACTTACTGTTTAATGATCCTGCCATAAAACTATCATGCCTGAGGCCTGATTAAAAGATATTTGGTGCTTTACTATTTAAAGACGTCCTACACAAAAATTAAACTCATCTCATTTAATTATAACTAGACGTGATGAATTTCAACAAAGGAACAAGGGGTTTTCTACTCAGTATTGGGGAGCCCAGACCTCATTATCGCCAAAATGTGCTTTAGGGAAAGGCACATTTGCCAGGGGACACATTTGCCATGTCTTATGTTCAACATAAGTGTCAGGAAACTCAGAAGACACTTGGAGAAGGTGGATATATATACCAACAGTGCTCCTGACAGACTGCAGGTAAACCTGTTTTCCCCACCCAGCGGTCTCTATTCCAAACCTGATTACTACTCCCCATCCTCTAATATGCTTTCTCTACCATTGCTTCTCACAATTGTGTCTTCTCTTTTCTTCTTAAACTTTCTCTACTCTACCCCTTTTTCTCCAACCAAAAGATTATATATTTCCCCTTCTCTCCTGCCTCTCCCTATTACTACACTCACAGACTCCTGCTCATTCTGAACCCACATGCTTGGATTACCTCCAGGACTTTGGGGTATGTGCGCTCATATAAAACTCACTCCCGTCTCACTTCCCCCAGCCTCTTGCTTCTTCTGGCTCCTGGAGATATTTCTCCCAATCTTGGCCCTATGTTATTTAATGTTAACCCCTACAACAAACCCACTAATTGCTATTCCCCTGCATCCAAGGACCAGTGTCCCCCTCTCATGTGTCCTTTGGAATGGCAGCTTATGTAACAAGCTCAATGCTGTCTAAGATTTTCTTATCTCTAACTCCTTTAACATGTTTGCTGTTACTGAAACCTGGCTTCGGGAATCTGACTCTGCCCCTCCGGCTGCCCTCTCCCATGGTGGCCTTCACTAAACTTACTCACCCAGACCCAATAGAAGAGAAGGAGATGGAGTTGGAATCCTTCTGTCCACACAAATCATTTCTCAAGTTCTGCCTTCTTCTCCCTGTCTATCTCTCTCCTCTTTTGAATATTACTCTAATCGCCTATTTTCTGCAGTTTCTCTGAGAATTGGTGTGATTTATCGACCTCCTGGACCGGTATCTCGATTTCTTGGCGGCTTCTCTGCCTGGCTACCTTTCTCTCTCTCCTCTGAAATACCCACTATCATTCTTGGTGACTTTAACATTGCTAATAACATAGACACCCCGGCGGCTACCACTCCACTTTTCAACCTAATCTCTTCTTTTGACCTCATACAATGGACACACACTCCAACTCACTGTGATGGCAATATACTAGATCTTGTGTTCTCTCGTCTCTGCACTCCTCCAACCTCTCCAACATCCATTTACCTCTCTCTGACCACAACCTTGTCAGTTTCACGCTCACCCTGTCCCCAACCCTAAATCTCCCCAACCAGCAAACTGTTACCTAAAGAAACCTTTGCCACTTCAACCCTTCTCTTCTCTACTAGTGACTATGTGTACAACAAAATCTCACCCCGTCCTGCCCTGACCTGGCTACAACAGCTCTCATCCTCCATAGACACCCTGGCTCCTCTCGCTACACACAGACTTAGATCGCGTTTACTACAACCTTGGAAAACGGAAAATACCAGAAAACCTAAAAGGCATAGCTGTGCTTTTGAGCGAGTGTGTCGTAGAACTAGGTCCCTGCAAGACTTCGCCCTGTATAAAGCTGCCGTCCTAAAATATAAATCCTCCCTCCATGCCGCCCCACACAAACCTATTTTGTCACTCTCATTCAGTCCTCATCAACTCTTTTCTAACTTTATCAGGCCCGGCGCTACCGCAAGACAAGTCAGGTGGCCACCTGAGGGCGCTGCAGTGGGGGGGCGCAAAAATGCACTTTGCCTGTGTAGGCAAGAATCCTAGCACCAGCCCTGACCTTTATATCTCTATTTTGTCATCCCCCACCTCCACCCACTAACTCATTCATTGCCCAGGACATTGCCATTCATTTCAAAAACAAGATTGATGCAATTCGTGATGAGATCTCCACTATCCAGTTATCTTCCCCTATTAACGTATCAGGGCCACCACCACATTTGTTACTTTCCTCTTTTGACTCTGTCACTACAGAGGTGTTTGGAAAGCTTTTCTCTGACATTCGCCTCACCACCTGCCCCCTAGACCCTGTTTCCTTACCACTACTCTGCTGACCTACTTACTCTATCCTACACACTTACGTTCACCTACTTACTCTATCCTACACACTTACGTTCACCTACTTACTCTATCCTATCTTCCCCTCTAAAACATGCACTGGTCACCCCCATACTGAATAAACCCTCATTGGACCCTGAACCCAACCTGAACAATCTCAGACCAATATCCTTACTCCTGTTCACCTCCAAACTCCTAGAATGCCTATTCTACAACTGCAAAGCTTCCACCTCACTGGTAATAACCTCCTTGACCCCTTACAGTCTGGCTTTTGCCCACAACACTCCACTGAAACTGCCCTCCTAAAACTCATTTATGAATGCTAAAAACAATAGCCAGTACTCCTTACCTCGTGCTATTAGAACTTTCTGCTGCTTTTCACACAGTTGACCACCTGCTCCTCCTCAAAAAACTCCACTCGCTTGGCCTCCAAAACTCTGCTGTCTCATGGCTCCCCTCCTACCTATCTACAGTAAGTGCTCCTCTATGATTAACCCCAGGTGGTAAAACGCGTGAGTGGCAATGGAATAGGAGAGATACTATGGTGGTGTATACCTAGTATTTTGAACTTTGCATGGAATTTACAACAATAAAGTT